AAATGATTTGGCCTTAGATTAAGAATAATTTAAGAGCACTGATGAAATATTTTGAATATTGAATATATCATGAAATGACTTAAAATAAAATATTATGAATATTATGAATAATGTAAGCTTGAAATATGTATTGTGTGCATGATATCAAATGGTTAATTATGAATTGAGATTCAATTTATATGGATGTTCGATGCATTAGATATGCTTACTCAGCTTCAACGCTGAGCGTGTAGTATGTTTTATTTGCTACACGCAGGTAAACAAAAAGAATGATGTGATGGAATCCTGGCGGCAGACGGAGCGAGATGGTCAATGTGGATGTGTAAAATGAATTAAAGTTTAAAAAGACATAATATTATTATGTTTTGTAATTGTTATTTATTCAGCTTCCGCAACATTAACTACTCTGTTATTATTCTGAATACTTTATTATGAAATAAAGTTTTAAAATGCTTGAAACCTTTTGAATGTTTACAAATACCAAGTTTATACTTTAGTCCGAAAGGGGCTGCAGACCTGGACGGATTGAGGTGTTACAATTTGGTATCAGAGCAAATGGTTTTAAACCCGATCTTCGGATCAAAATTTGGATTAAAAAAAAAATTTGTATATATATATAAATATATATATATATATATATATATATATATATATATATATTTCGAAAAAAAAAATATAAATCACATCCACGACTCTCGCATCCATCTGCTACAGGAAGGTAATAAAAAATTAAGTATTGAATTTGACTGCATTAAACCTTTATAGATGTCAACTGTTAATTCATAAATAATATCAAGTGTTGATTCAAGTCGCACTATCGTACATGGTAAAAGACGAAAGAACAAACGTAATGTATATGACTCGCTGGTACGTTATCAACGTGCCCATCGCTTCGCAAAAATAATGAAACGAAGGATTTATCTACGCCGCAAGGCTGCATGGGAACGAGATGACCCAGAAGAGACGTTCAGCGTAGACTCTGCCAATAGCGTATGTGGGTCGGGCAAGGAAGATCCATCTGTAGATTCGTCACGATCCCACCAATCGAACGCAAACGTTTAAAAATTTTCTTGTTGTTCGTTTCAAATCCATTGATTGTATCGACTATTGTAATCCTTTGCAATTCCTGTCTTAAACTCAACTACTGAATAAAAGAATCCTAATGAAGGAATTCCTGTTATTGTAGAATGAGTCAAGAATCTGCCCACGGACAAGGCAACAACAATGAACACGTTAGTGTTCATACTGAAGCATCTAGCTTCACCCCTCCCATCCAAAATGAACGCACCAATGTTTCAACCACCTCCACCACCACCACCTCGTGTGGTAACCTATAAAACACTAAGGGATAATGGTGCGGAGATATTCTTTGGGGATTGCATCGCCGAACCCCAAATTGCATGGGATTGGATCGAGCAGACGGCTCGGGTGTTGGAAAATCTTAACATACCCATTGACAATTATCCCAGACTGGCTTCTCAATTGCTTCGAAAGGAAGCCTACGAGTGGTGGAAGAGGACCGATGAGAGTGCAGGAACTCCTAAGCCATGGACATGGGCACATTTCGAATGGGCATTCAAGCAAGAATATATTCCAAAACGTTTTAGTGAAGAAAGACGTACGGAATTTGTCAAACTGCAACAGGGAGACATGACACTCCCTGAATATCGTCAGAAGTTCACCAAACTTGCAAACTTTGCGCCAACCTTGGTGAGTACCTCAACCGATCGCATTGAGGAGTTCAGGAAGAAACTTCGACCTGACCTCAGGTCACGTGTGTCCGTCCTTACCACCGTGGATTTTGCAAAGGCCTACGAGATCATAGCTAGGGCAGATAGTGACCTGAGTGCTTGCATAGAGTATTTAAAGGCAAACAATGCTGGCTCAAGAACTCACCGTCCCACTAGCTCTGCCTCAAAAGGAAAAAGGCCCTTCCAAGAATCTAGCAGTTCGCACTTCTCAAAGAAAGGGAAATCGGCACAGACGCACTCCGTGGCGTCGGAAAGCAAATCAAAAGGGTGGAAACACCCATTGTGTGATACGTGTGGGAGACATCATCCAGACGAGTGTTGGTTTGCCCAAGGGTTATGTCTAGGTTGCAGTAAATCAAGACATTTTCGAAAGGATTGCCCCACTAATCCTGGCAAACCATTTTCAACGGCCCCAGTTTCCAGCCAATCAGCCCCAGCACGACCTGCGCCAAGTCAGCGATCGACGGCGGGATCTAATCCGGCCAAGAACCAGGGTCAACAACAAGGACGAGCTCCTGCTCGTACTTATGCAATGAAGGCTCGAGCTGAGGAAAACCCTAACGTCATTCAGGGTATGTTTTCCTTATTCGATACTATCATGCATGTGTTGATAGATCCTGGATCAACATTATCTTATATCTGCGTGCCTATGCCTGAAAAAGCTGACATAATGAAAGAACAATTAAAACAACCTATACTGGTGTCAAACCCGTTAGGGCATAGTATGAGGTTAGATCATGTATATCAAGATTGTCCGGTGATTGTTGAAGGACAACGATTCTCTGCCAACCTTGTTGAATTACCGTATAAGGAATTTGACATCATTCTCGGAATGGATTGGCTCACTGAGCACCAAGCAGTTAT